AAAATGCTCTTCACACTGCTGTTCTTGCGGTGTGAGATGAGTTTGTCGTGGGACTTCTTCGACTTCCCAGAAGCGACGAAGTTCCTCTTCGAGAGAAGGAGAGCCGACAATATGATGAGTCGAAACGCGACTGAGAGCGCAAGTTTCGGAAAGAATTGTCGGCGACGAGGAATTATTCGTCGTTGATGACGTGATAGGTCCCGAAATTATCCATCCGAGGACGGAATTCTGAGCAATTGGTTGTCCGACGCTTCCTTTGCGAACACCGTCGAGAATGATATCGTTATAGAGATCTGCTCCGATAATGAGATTTATAGGATCAAGACTCGTCGGATCCGCGTCTGCTCGCGGCAAATCAGAAAGATAAGATAGTGACGAGATGTCCACGTTCTGTCTCGGAGCATAAGAAGTTAACGATTTCATAATGAGCGCGGTGGTCGACAGCGACGGAACGTGAGAATCGCGAGGAGAAATGAATATGTGTGTCGCGTGTTGAAAAGTCCCCGCGTTTATCCCGCCGACGGCGGAAACGGAAATCGGCATACGAATGCGTTTTACGCGCAAGGTTTGCGCTAAACTTTTTGAGATGAATGTCATTACCGAGCCCTGATCGAGGAGAGCTCGAACGACAGCGGTACGACCCGACGGACAGCGCACCGTTACCCAGGCCGTCGCTAATAAGACGGGTGATCGCTTTCTCGTTGAGGCGATCAGAGAATTTATTTCCGGTGTCGAACCGGACGGTTGAGGCGACGAGCAATTCGGCATAATAGTTTTCGCGGAACTTGAGCCCGAATCCGAGTCAACGTGTAGCATCGAATGATGCTTCTTGTGACAAACCCGACAAGAATATTTACTTTTGCATTCATGTGCGGAATGCCTTGCGCTCAAACAATTGAAACAACGTTTTTGTTGCTTGACGATATCTCGACGTAGACTCGCATTCTTGCTCACGAAAGTAGGGCATACATTAAGAAAGTGCCGCTCTGAACATAATGGGCACTGCGATTGTGCGTTTGCGGATGCGGTTGCAGCATGAATTCGCGAGGCTGCGATTGGTTTTACACCGGTTTTAACGGCTGACTCAGGGGCGGCTGCCCTTAACGCGCGAGTGCGAGACTCAATAAATTCGCTTAGAGTTTCGTGAGACTGCGTGGCATCTTTATTGCTCATGCTTAGTTCCCAAGCTTTGCGCGTGACCAGATCTAATTTTTGCACAACGATATGAACGACAATATCTTCCAAGAGTTCCTCCGGTTTTCGATTGAGGGCTTTCAATGATGCCATTGCGATATTCACTTTGTCGTTTAGAGTCTGCAACTCGGTGGCAGATTCGCGTGAGATAGAAGATAAGCCGAGCAAGGTCGAGAGATGTTTGTTTATCGACCGCCTTCTGTCGTCGTACCGTTTGGTCAACGCTTTCCACGCTATTTCAAAATTAGTGGCCGTTACAGAAATATTCGCGATACATTCCTGCGCGCTACCCTTAAGGCACGACGATAAAAAGTGCATGCAAGCGAAATCATTTAGATCCGAATTTTCACGAATCAGTGTCGTAAATCGATCGCGAAATTGTTCCCATTCGTCGTAATTGCCGTCGAACAGAGGCAATTTGATGGGGGGAAGATGCGATAGAGAAAACGCGGACGCGTCCGCGGGCAGCCTCGTCGAGGACAGAGATGGGTTTGGACTCACGACCTGTTCCATTTCCTCCAGGATCTCCGCAATGTGGTCCATTGCACTTTGATAAGCTGCGGAAGTCGAGTCGAAATGATCGTCCTTGAAATAGATAAAGGATGTCCGGTTTGCTTCCGGGATCCTTAATGACAACTCTGTATGTCCGTTGGAGAATTGACTCCAGATTTCCTTAAGCATTGAAATCCTCGAGCGCACCTTAGCCGGAGTTAGATTGCTCCTGCTGATTTTTTTGAAGTTTTCTTGGTAGCGTTCGATCAAACGCTGCAACTGCTGCTGATGTACGAAGTGTTCCGACATCGTAAATGTATCGAAATATCACACACTCGCGAACTTATCCTCCACACACGATCCTATCCGGCTTGAAGGACCAATATGTTCGGGAATCGACCTCGACGAGATCGCCCGAATCTAGAGAAACGCTCAGAGATGAGCGAGAAGCGGTGTGTAACGCAAATCCGTAGATTCGTGAACATATTACATTTATGTTTAATACGACAATAATTTAAATGTTATGATATCATTATTCTATCAAATTAAAAATATCAAGATATTTCTAAACAATTATAATAAAGTAAAATACATGTTTGACGGCATATTTGCAGCGATATTTTCATAAGCGGATCTGAATGGTGTGGATGTTTCTCCAAAGCCGAACGTCCATGTGCCGCTGTGCGCAGACGATCATCGCCGGATTCTGCACCTGTTTGCGATTCGCGAGGATATTATCGTAGCACTCAGTGTCATCATGGTCTTGGTCTCTGTTGGTGCGTCGACCCGCACGGGGTTGAGTTTGCTGGTACCAGAATGCGTGGTGCAAAACCTGATTGCGGTATGTTTATTTATGTTACTACACTTAGATGATAGAATTATTGAAATATAAACGTTCTCAACATATCGAGAAAATAGTAAAAAACAAGTAATATAATCCATTAACTCTAAGAATCGTGGATGTAGAACGTTATTGCACATCAAAGTATTAAATGGGATGTTTAAAGATACACATATTAAATATAACTAAAATAATTTATCTTCTATTAAAATTTGGTTATCTTGCCACAATTTTTTAAGTTTTAAAGTTAAATGTCTTGATACTATACAAGGTGTGCCAGGTCAAATCAATGAGGGTCTTATAGAAAATTGAATTTGGAACAAAAAAGTTACCATAAACATAGGTCCGGAAACACTTCGTCAAAAAATTATAGCTAATGAACTTCGAAAAATTATGTTTATTTGATGATTTTTCAAAAATAACTTCAAAATCCTTCATTCATTTGAAAAAAGTAACGAAATAAATCTGATAAATAATTAAATAACAAACTAAATTATACCAATTTCATTTAATTCTGATAAGGTGTTCAAAAGAAAATAAGCTCAAAACAAAAAAATAATCAGAAACTCGAAAAAACCACCTTTCAATCGTTTTTGTGTAAACACTAAATTTGTAATGCAAGCATTGTAAATGCAAACATAAAAAGGTTATTATTAAATGTTGATTATAACTAATTACTTACAAAGAATTATCTAACCTAACCTTACAGAGAGTTTATTAGCTATAACTTTTTAACGAAGCGTTTCCGGATCTATGTTTATAGGAACCTTTTCGTTTTAAATTCAATTTCCTATAAGATCCTGAAGTTTCATTGACCTGACCTGGAATACACTGTATACAGCATACATATTATTTAAAATTAATATATTTTGTTAAAGTAAAATTTATTTTTTTAAATTAGAGATGAATGAACTCCAATTATCTCTTATACATCTCTATAATATATAATTAAGCAATTATACACTGAAAATTATTCGCATACTTTCATTTTTATTAAATTAAACATATAACTATTTTACTTTTTGGAAAGTAATAGCATATGTCATTCACTATTAAAACAAATGCTATTATTAATGATATTATATATTATTGGGTCAGCCAAAAAGTTAAATTTGATTTTTGAATAAAATTTAACTTTATTTCGTACAATAAAAAATAATTTATTTATCGGCTAAATAATCTCTGTTGTTGTCTATAATTTTGGTAAATATAGCGAAAAGGGGACCCAGCCCCAATGACCTTGACCTTGATATATGTTGTAAAGAACATAATTCTGAATAACTTTTTCTTTTAATTTAATCGTCGCTCGTTTTTTTGCCAGTTTTCTAAGAGCATTCGTATATTTTCATTGCGACAAATAATCGATATACTATTGAAGAAAATATTGAAGAAAAACGTAATTTTTGAGTTCTAAAAGGATGCAAAGAATTTAATCTAAAAGGATACAAATATTCAATTTATTTTGTAATGACTAAAATAAATGTTGAGAAAGATAATATTCGGAGAATATAGAAGATAGCAGATACAATATAGCAGATTTCAGTTTGGATGGACCTGAGTTCTCATCAGTGATGCCAGAATGCTCACGCTAGCAACACGCAACCGTAGTGGAGGGGATGACGCACACAAGCGCAAACCGCGTACGTGTGAGCTCGGCGCTTCGGCTGGCTTCGGATAGCAGAAGAGGACAGATATACTGTTTTCTGTCTCTCTCCTTCTTATCGAGCCGCCACGAAGACCGGGCGGTACACGTCACACGTCGCTTGGTCGCTTCTCGATTGTCGCTTCTTACTATGCCTTAAATGTTTTTTTCAGCCTTTTTGTATGAGATATATTATCTATTGTTACGTCCTGGTGACTCCACGATTTCTTCCTTCCACGAAGCTGCCGCAATGATAATCGATCGGTGATAGAAATGAGTCGTTCGGTAAATAGAGCATCTTGCGTCAAACATTCCTTAAACATTTAGTCACTTATCAATATCTATATCTACGAGTAACCGTGAGAAAGACGCGACGAAACCGCGCCGGTCGCCGAAAAACAAATAAAAACCAGTAGATACCCTCGTTTCGTTTTTAAATCTGATAGCAAAGAAAACATTCTTTCTGGGTCGGCATTTGAATTTGGAAGTAATCTAACAGCATTTAAAAGAGACTTCATATTGGGATACGTACGTTTTAAAATTTTTTTCCACATCTCATCAAAGTTTAATTTTGAAAGATGTTCTTTTTCTGCTGTTGTAAAATCTAGATGTAAAGTATGCCACTCTTTTTTTAAAGCATTTTCGTCAAAGCCACCGAGGGTTTGAGCAATAAAAGAAGCATCATTAAATGATGTTTCTCTGTCAATACTACATAATGCTGTGTTGAATTGGAAAACTGTTAATTTACATAAAAATTTATCTTTAATGGGCAATCTTTTACTAATTTCCTCGGCAGCAGTCACGTAAAATTGCAGACAATTATCTCGAACATTTCCAATTATGTCTGCGTGTCCTTTTTTCATTAAACTTTCGAGATATTCTTCACATTCATATCCTAAATTTATATCATTTAAAGATTTATGGTTTTCTTTTTCAGAAAATTTAAAATCATTACATACATTTTTTACAAGCTCTGGTTTCAAAAAATGTTTGGAAATTCTTATTAAAAGTTCCAATGACTTTGGCTGCAACAAGTGAACTCTTGTTTCCACAGCTTGAAAAAATGCATTAAAAGAATTTAAAAAATTTAAAATATGCTTTAAAAATAACAAATATGCTTTTACATCCGGATTTTCCATTACAAATAATAAATTGTCTCATGATTTAGATTGCGAGAAGTTTTCAAAAAAAATAGCAAATTATATTAATAGTAGTCCTAAACGTGCTGCTATTTATGAAGAATTTACCGAATGTTTTCAGGAAACAAACCGTAAAATTTTAAAATTATCCACTACACGATGGCTATCTCACCATTCATGTGTTGTGAGACCTTTTGATTTTTGAGATACTACGAAGCTTTTTTTGACTGAAATGGTTATAAGTGAAAAAACTAAATCAGGAGACAATTTATTATCTGTGATGGAAAATCCGGATGTAAAAGCATATTTGTTATTTTTAAAGCATATTTTAAATTTTTTTAATTCTTTTAATGCATTTTTTCAAGCTGTGGAAACAAGAATTCACTTGTTGCAGCCAAAGTCATTGGAACTTTTAATAAGAATTTCCAAACATTTTTTGAAACCAGAGCTTGTAAAAAATGTATGTAATGATTTTAAATTTTCTAAAAAAGAAAACCAAAAATCTTTAAATGATATAAATTTAGGATATGAATGTGAAGAATATCTCGAAAGTTTAATGAAAAAAGGACACGCAGACATAATTGGAAATGTTCGAGATAATTGTCTGCAATTTTACGTGACTGCTGCCGAGGAAATTAGTAAAAGATTGCCCATTAAAGATAAATTTTTATGTAAATTAACAGTTTTCCAATTCAACACAGCATTATGTAGTATTGACAGAGAAACATCATTTAATGATGCTTCTTTTATTGCTCAAACCCTCGGTGGCTTTGACGAAAATGCTTTAAAAAAAGAGTGGCATACTTTACATCTAGATTTTACAACAACAGAAAAAGAACATCTTCCAAAATTAAACTTTGATGAGATGTGAAAAAAAATTTTAAAACGTACATATCCCAATATGAAGTCTCTTTTGAATGCTGTTAGATCACTTCCAAATTCAAATGCCGACCCAGAAAGAATGTTTTCTTTGCTATCAGATTTAAAAACAAAAAAAA